TGAAACTCCTAGCATCCCAGAGAGGGGACACCCTCTGTACCCCAGAGAGGAGACACCAGAGAGGGGGAACTTCTGGAAGAGATGTTTTGGGCTAATCTTCATATTTTGGAGTATTTTTTGACTTTATCTCAACTTTTTGCAGTTTGGGGGGGCAAAAGTCATCTTGCTATTTCTGATGAGGTTTTTGCCTCAATCTTGGTGGTTTGGGTTTTTCTGGGCTGAATCTTGGTGTTATGGAGGTTTTTATGGACACAGGATGCCCAGTGAGTTCTAGAGATGGACTTGGGCAGGAGGAACCCCCAAGCCAACGCGCTCAGCCCTTGTTTTCTCCTCCCATCAGGATTTGTCCTTCCCAAAGCTTGGGCGGATGGAGGAGGAGGCTGCGAGGAAGAGGAAGATGCCTTGGGCCCCCCAGGCAGGTGAGGAGGAAGTCAGTGGCCCTTTGGGCGGGTGTTGTGCTGGCTCTGTCAGCCGAGCATGGCCCCGGCTGCAGGACAACCCCGCTGCCGCCGCCGTCCTGCCGGGGCCGGAGCTGGGGGGATGTCCTTGGCCTTCCCTGTGGGCCGGAGGCAAATCCCCTCCCTGTCCTTCTTGCTTCCTGCCCCAGACCCCGAGCTGAGGACGGAGAGCCCGGAGGACAAATCGCCCCGTGAGACCCTGGTGGGAGAGGCCATTTTGAAGGGCTCCATGGTGCAGGAAGGCAGTGGGGAGGAAAAGGGCCGGAGATCCCCCTGCAGGAGGGGCTCCAAAGCCAGCCCAGGGTGCTCTGAGGAGGAAAGACCCAGCCTGTGCCAGGAAGGTGGCCGGAGTTTGAGGCGGAGCTCTGAGCTGGTGATCCCTGAGCAGTCTCCCAGCAGGGATAAGCCCTTCAAGTGCTTGGAATGTGGGAAGAGCTTCAGGAAGAGCTTCAACCTCCTCACCCACCAGCACATCCACACTGGGGAACGTCCCTACATGTGTAGGGAATGTGGGAAGAGCTTCAGGCAGAGATCCAGCCTGATCCGACACCAGCACATCCACAGTGGGAAACGGCCCCACACATGTGGGGAATGTGGGAAGAGCTTCAGGGACAGCTCCACCCTCTGCACCCACCAGCGCATCCACACTGGGGAACGACCCTACAGGTGCTTGCAATGTGGGAAGAGGTTTCAGACCAGCTCACATCTCCTGAAGCACCAGCGAACGCACACGGATGAGAGACCCTTCTGCTGCACCGACTGCGGGAAGGGCTTCAACCGGAACTCCCACCTTGTCATTCACAGGCGTATCCACACTGGGGAGAGGCCCTACAAGTGTGGGCAGTGTGGGAAGAGCTTCACCCAGAGGTCTAATTTGAACAAACACCAACGGACCCACCAGTAAGGGAAGCCCTGTGAGGCCCCCACTGTGAGAAGAGCTTCGGCTGTAGGACTGACAGGCAAAAAAGGTTTCAAAAGGTCTTCAGGATTTTGAGTATCTGCACTCCAACATCAATTTATTCTTTTGAATATGTGTAAGTTTAACCTCATTTTAGTCTGAAAGCCAAATTCAGCACTACCCCATTCCCTGATAACTGTGGGCTGATTCTGACAAGTGAGGCAGAAATTACCCACTGCCCAGCAAAAACCATTGGGACCAACCAGTGGTCCCTGCCCTGGCAGCCAAGTTTCCCCAGTGTCATCTCAAAATGACCAGTTACACTGAAGCAAAGAGCACTGGAACCAGTGCAACAAGCCCCAGTCTGACTTTCACACCTGCCCATGTGTCCTGTTTTCTGCTGCTCTACAGACTTCTTTCTTTAAAATACAATGGAAAAAAAGAAACAGTTTTTGGGGTTGTTTTGGTTTTTGGCTCGGGTGGTTTTTTTTCCCCCCACTGTTCTCATTAACCTCATTTCAAATCTATTTTGGTGTTTGAAGATGAATTAAAATTTTGAATGATTTTTATTGTTAATGCCTTGACCAAGGTATCAAAACATGAAAAATACAAAAAAAACCCCAAAACACTACGAAGCTGTCCATTATTGTCACAATCAAACAGAAGTACTAACATAAGCACAGTGAAAAACCCATAAATAAGACCATTAAAATAATTTTAATATTTACATATTAATATATTTTTTATAAACTTAACATAAGGAAATTTAATTCCTGACATCAGCTTTTCCCACCTCTCAAAAAGGTAATTTAGTTACATCTTAGTCACCCTTGAAAGGCTCTTTCCAGTTGGGTTGGCCTCTGCCTTAGACACTCATGAGATCTGCCAAAACCAACTTAAGGGCAGATTTCTCCACCAGGTTCAACTGCATTGGTTGTACCAAAAACTTTGCAAGTAACCCCACAACTTTCATCTTAAACTCTTCCCTCAACCTTGTAAAATAATTAGCAGTAAACAGACCTGATAATGTGTTATAATTAATGACACGTTCTTGTTCTCAAAGTCATTCATGCATCAAAAAGATGCCACAGGAACGGCCAAAATATTAATAGCAACCTCTACACTTTGGAAATCACCATTGGTTTAAAAGATTTCACAGCAGTTGTTTCCTTAGGAATTAAGGCACATTTTACTAACAAGTTTCAATA